TTGGGAGGCTAAGGCAGGAGAACTGCTTGAACCCAGGAGGCGGAGGTTGTAATGAGCTGAGATCACACCACCATGCTCCAGTCTGAGTGACAGAGTGAGACTCCATCTTAAAAAAATAAATAAATAACAACAACAACAAAACTACCGCCAACTTAGCATTGCATTCTAGGCCAAATAGGGGGAGGCTCGCGCTGAGCACGAATGATGGCCCAGGTGTTTGCTGGGCTCAGGAAGGGTGCTCACTCCCCCTCCTGTTCTGCTGTCCTGTACTCCCCACAGACCCACACACATGAAGTCCTCTTCGGTCTCCATGTGGCTCTTAGGAATTGCTTTACTAAACTGTCACTTATGTGCAGCAAGAAATTTGAATTTCCGGTTGCATGAAAGTTTTCTCATGGCGAAGGGGCTTTACTTGCACCTTCAAGTCGTATGAGCAAATGCTTTACTTTTCCCAGCCCCAGCTTTCCCGTCTGTGGAAGGAAGGTGAGGTAGTGCTGACTCCTGGCGTGGATGTGAAGTTGAAGGTGGAGAATTCCCGCTGTTGATTACTGCTCCCTCCTCCTTGAAATGGGCTCCGCCCTTGGCTTCCAGGACAGTCCTCTTTGGTTCCCCTTCCCCCACTGGGCATTTCTCACCTGGCTTCTGTGCTGAACCTCCCGCCTCTGCCAGCTTCTGGATGCCACTCTCTCTAGGGCTTGGCCCAGTCTCAGTCTCTTGGGTTCCTCATCTGTATTCATGTTTTTTCTAGCTGCACGGTTTAAATTCCATCTCTGGGCCAATCTCTCCAGCTCAGGGCTCTCCCTGAACTCCGGCTTTATGTGTCTACCTACCCACTCAGCTTCTCCGCTCAAGGCAGCTCAGACCAAATAGGCGAAAGTAAACTTGATCTACCTCGCCAACACCTATTCTTACTAGAATCTTCTTCATTTCAGAAAATGGTATTGCTCTTCTTCCAGTTGATCCAATCCCAAACCTTGACACCATCTTTAAAGCATCTTTTTTTCATGCTGCACGCTTAGCCATCAGGAAACCTTATCAGCTCTCCCTGCAGACCTATCCCCGTCTCTTCCCACCTCTCCACTGCCACTGCCTGGCCCTGACCCACGTGGGGTCTCCCTGCCTGGATTGTCACCATCCATGCTGTTCCTACTGCCTGGAGTGAGGGACAGGGGGACCAAGGCAGGGAGGCAGGATGGCGTTGTGGCCAAGTGTGGGGCTTTGGGGCCAGGATTTTTGGGTACAGATTCTGGTGCCATTTTTGGTTGGTTACTATCAAGAAATTGATTGTTATTATACACACTTCAAATTGTGCTGTAATTTTCAAATTATTTCCATTTAGGACCACAGTGGTTGACATGAAAGTGGGATTTCTGGGAGATTTCAGAAGCCTTTGATTTCAAAAGTCTAAATCCACGAAACAATTAGGATGTGCTGTCCAAGAGGGGAAACAGATGCTTTCAGTATAGAAGGGGCGGCTCCATCTCAGGAAACGCCTTCCCAGCGACAGCCTGGGAAAAAGTTACTTTCTCTTCAGGGTTCTACAGGCTGGAGGATTCCAGTGTCTATTCACAGGGAGGGATAAGGAGCACTGGGAGCTCCTAGGCTGTGAAGGCATCAGGCCTGGCAATCAGTGGGAAACCAGGGCGACCCCCAAGGAATGAAGACTGATCCCCCATCCCTTCTAAGTCTAGGGCCTCCCTTCGTGCTGGGCCCCTGAGATCCCCTCAATGCAGGGGAAGGGGACCAGAAAACGTGGTTGACTTCAATATGCATTTTTCCCCCATAATGACTTTAGATCTCTCTGGATTGGAGCCAAATTTGATTTGATTTAGAGAAACAAAGAAACGCAGCATTTCTTAATCCATAAGGGTCATGCTGTAAATTTATGCCTGTAACAACGATTTCCTGGAACATGTGAGTTGGACTCATGTTCCCTTTGCAATCTGAAATGTGGGGTTGTACATTGTACCTCCACAAGGAGATAAGCTTTGTTGAAACAACCTTGGTTAAGAAATCTTAGTCCCAAAGATTTGGGTGGATACAGGCATCTCTCATGGCCAAGGTTGTAATGTGGCCAAGGGGGGCTCAGAGGACCTGAGTAACAGTGACAACCAGAGAGAAGGGGGAGCCGGGCGCTGCATTCTTACACCTGCTTCCTGAGGGTGGGAACCAAGGTCTTACGCAGGTCAACTTCCCGTCTGAGCTGGCCAGCTGTCAGACGACAGAGCCACCCATATCCCTTTCTGTGTGCCACTTCCTGTTTCCCATGGGATTCCATCTTGGACCTCTGGGTCTGACATCACCTTTCATCCAATCCAGCTAGGACCCAGTTCACACAAGCTCTGTTGCATGATGGTTCAGCAAAGAGCCACATATGGCCATGAGTTATTTGGATAAAATTTGGACATAAATGTGTAAATGTGCTTAGATTATAGGTCATGTGTCTACTTGAGTTAATGTATTCACCCCTTGCTCTGGGTTCAAATCTTGGGTCTTTTACTCACTTGCTTTGTGACCCTAGGCAAGTAATTTGATTTTTTTGTGCTTTAGTTTCCTCCTTTGTAAAATGAGGTTAAGAATAATACTCAGCTGGTACATTGGCTCACACTTATAATCCCAGCACTTTGAAAGACTGTGCAGGAGGATTGCTTGAGCCTGCCCAGGAGTTGGAAATCAGCCTGGGAAAAACAGTGAGACCCTGTCTCTACCAAAAAATAACATTAACCAAATGTGTGGTGGTAGACCCCTGTAGTCTCAGCTACTCGGGAGGCTGAGATGGGAGGATTGCTTGAGCCTCGGCGGTCGGGCTGCACTGAACTGTGATTGAGTCACTGCACTCCAGCTTGGGTGACAGAGCAAGACCCTGTCTCAAAAAAACAAAACAAAACAGAAAACCAAAAAGAAAAAAATACTATTTATCTAACTGAATCAAATTAGTAGATGAAAAGTATGTCTGATACATGTAAATGATCAATAAATTGTAATCACTATTACTAGTCTTTTACTTGAGGAGGAGAGGGAGCCATATTTTAGTAGTGACAGAATTCAGAGAAAGAGTTTGAAAAAGTTATTTTTTCATGGCGGGGTGCGGTGGCTCACTTCCGTAATCCCAGCACTTTGGGAAACTGAGGCAGGTGAATCACTTGAGGTCAGGAGTTCAAGACCAGCCTGGCCAACATGGTAAAACCCTGTCGCTACTTAAAATACAAAACTTAGCTGGGCATGCGGTGTGCACCTGTAGTCCCAGCTACTTGGGAGGCTGAGGCAGGAGAATCGCTTGAACCCGAGAGGCAGAGGTTGCAGCGAGCAGAGATTCGCCACTGCACTCCAGCCTGGGCGATGGAGTGAGACTCCATCTCAAAATAACAAACAAACAAAAAAGATATATGTAAGTACGTGGACAGCCATTCCTTAAATCCTCTACTCTTCAATATTGCTAGAAGTCCCCTGAGAAATTTTATTATAGCATAGTTTCTTAGGTATCAATGGCAGAGCCTAAAGCAGTCAGAATAGGGCTGCCGGTGGGCACACGTTACCGGTGTGAGCCTTGGCCAGTGGAGAAGCAGGTGCCCGACCCAGTCAGGCCAGGAGGATGCAGGAGGTCAGGAGAGCATCAGCAGGCCTCAGGCCTGGTGGTTTCCAGGGCTCCAGGCTGTGGGCAGCCTGCCCTGCCCTTTTGATACCAGTTCTCAAGCCTCTTGACCCCTGTATAGAACCTCCCTGGCATGGAAGCCAGGGTCTCAGCAGGCCACACGGGCGAGCTTGGCCCACTGGCTGCATGCCTGCCACTGACCCACTGTGGCTCTTCCCTGCATGCAGGGAGGAGCCCTGACTCCCAGACCACTGAGGATGGAGGGACTTCACATCACAGCTCCTCTGTGCATAGGTCTCAGGCCAAGCCCTTCCGCAGACTGAGCTGTTTCCTTTCACATTCAGAAGGTGACAGCACCTGCTCAGGCGCTGTCCGAAGTGGGCCAAGGACAGGAGCCCCCTGTACGTGAAAATAGGCCCGGGCTCCCTGGGCTGATGAGGTGTGTGTGTCACCATGTGACTGAGATCACAGCCAGCAGGGATCAGCAGTGTCCTCAGAGTCGTCAGGCCTCCCCCGCTCCCAGACACTGTTTGCAGCTGCAGGAACAGCCACAGATGCTAGGACCTGCTCTCATGGCAGCCGGGACTGGCCACCCCAGAAAAGAAGCCAGCGAAATCCCAGTGGGGACCTTGGGGGCCAGCGGCTTCCTAACTGGGCTTTTTGCCAAAGCCTAGAAAGCTAAGACACCGGCCATGTTTCACTCCATTTTCCCCTCTTTTATTTATTTATTTGTTTGTTTGTTTGTTTGTTTGTTTATATTTTGAGACAGAGTCTCACTCTGTTGCCTAGGCTGGAGTGCAGTGGTACAATCTCGGCTCATTGCAACCTTCGCCTCCTGAGTTCAAGTGATTTTCCTGCCTCAGCCTCCTGAGTAGCTGGGACTGCAGGTGCCCACCACCATGCCTGGCTGATTTTTGTATTTTTAGGAGAGACGGGGTTTCACCATGTTAACCAGGCTGGTCTTGAACTTCTGACCTCAGGTGATCCACCTGCCTCCGCCTCCCAAAGTGCGGGGATTACTTTGGGGAGTAATCCCAAAGGCGGGAGCTGCTGCATGTGGCCCCGTTTTTCCTTCTGACTCTTGTTTTCTTACCAGTGGGGACCTATTGCTCATGGGAAGAAAATGACATTGTCCTTATTTTGTGACTTCTGGCAACTGTCTTTTTCCAAGGAAGCCCCTTCTCTCCGGTACTGCCCCTGAGTTCAAGCCGGGGTGCCACTCTAGTGTTTTCAAGCGTCTTACAGATGGAGATCAGCCCCGCCCTCCCCAAGATCCCCACCCTGCATCAGAGTCGGGACTCCCTGGTGCTGTGGTCAGCACTGGTGCACAGCTCTGCAACCCTGAGCCCCCACGGGCTTTGACTGTGGTTACCAGCACCTTAGGAGACAGAATAACAGATACCGTCCGTTTCATAAACAGCCATGTCCACAGGGTTTATTCCTAGATCACAAACCAACCCCACTGACCAAACTCCCAAGTGACTTTGTATTAAACTTGTTATCAAATCACCCATATAAATACACATAATAGATACAAAAATGGGATTTTTTTCAGTCTTTGGTAAGAGCGCTTTCTCCTCCTCTTATTTCCCCTCTGTCCCTGCGCTCTAAAGACATTTCCTTGCGTTCACATTATTTCCTTGAATACAAAAATCGCCCAGAAGTCACTTTTGTGCTGGAACCCCTGCCTCCATCGACACTCCCACAGGGGACCCAGCCCGCAGCGGCCGTGGGAAGAAGCCAGCCCTGGGGACTCACACGTAGTCGTTCAGCCTGTACCCACTGTGTGTGGCTGAGGTCACTGAGGGGGCCCGGTTGTCTTTGTAGGCAGCTGGTGGCTGGTAGGCGGGGGCGGTGGTCGCGGTGGCTGTGGTGGCCCTGGGCTGGGCCTGGTAGGGCCGGTAGGGTGCCTCGTCCTGGCAGGACAGGCAAAGCAGGGTGCCACCGATGAGCGAGAGGGACGAGGAGATGAAGCCCAGGTACAGGGCCTGGCCGATCTCGAACTTCATGCTGCTGGGGAGCAGCGGGTTGTAGAAGTTCTGCACCACATCGTTGGTGGTCCAGGAGACGGCCACCATGCACAGGAGGCCAGCCAGGATGAAGAGGGCACCGCCGAGGATGGCAAAGGTGGTCTTGGCAGGCGTGCCCTTGGCGCAGCGTGTGCACTTCATCCCGATGACGGCACAGGCGCAGGCCATGCCCGAGATCAGGCAGGAGATGACCATGAGGGCACGGGCAGCCTGAAGGTCTTGGGGCAGCGCCAGCAGGGAGCGGTAGACCTGGCACTGGTAGATGCCCGTGCTGTGCCACACGCACTCCATCCAGAGCCCCTTCAGGTAGGACACAGCCGTGAGGATGTTGGTGCCCACGTGCGCCGTCCTCCGCCAGTGTGGCAGGATGGTGGTGATCAGCGTGCCCACCATGCCCAGGAAGCTGAGCAGGAAGCCGAGGAGCTGCACGGCCGCGCTGGCCATGGTTAGCTGCCTGCCTAGGCCAGCCGGGCAACTCCCTGGGCCCTCGGGGTCGTGCCGCTCCTCAGGCACTGGCGGGAACCCTAATGAAGCCGAGCGAGGCGGGAGTGGGGAGAGAAAGGAAACGGGTTAAAGATTATCTCGTGCACTTATTTCTGTCACCGAAACTGAGTTTTCCATAGGCAGTTGGTGTGGCAATTAGCATGTTCTCAAAAATAGTTTCTGAGACGTCACTGGGTGGGAGAATACCTGCTTTCCTGGAAAGGCAGGATCTGAAGGGTGACAGCCGGATGCTGGCCTCAGGGAAGGGTTTTAGCGCCTGCGGGAAGTTCTGCTTATGTCTACCCTTAAGCACTGCTGCTGCACTGGAATCTCCTGTCCTTCTGTTCATCAGTAATCAGGAATAACGTTGTTAAATCAACACGCTCTATTCGTGCCTTGGACTGACGGTGCTAAGGTGTGTTCCGGCTGCGACTTAGAAAACAGCCCTGCGTGGTTGTCAGGATGAGGGGTTTTCTGAAGCGGGCAGCTTCCCCACCCACATGCTCAGCCAGGGAGAGGTTTAGTTCCCTGGGCAGGTCAGATGCTGCCTTCAGAATTCCAGAGCTGGATGTGACCTAGAGGTTGTCAGCTGATGCTGGGGCAGGAATTTCCAAGGTCACGGCTCTTCGGGAGCCGTGGTAGGACCACGGGCCAGCATCCCTTCTCTCCAGCACAGACCTCTGCTCCCACCACGCTCCCTATTTGCTATGTCCAATTGTCATTGGCGAGGGCTGTCTGAGGGTGACCTTGTTATAAGACAGAGGCTGCTACCTGGCTTTCAGGGATATGGGAATGTCGAGCCCTTTCAAAGTCTTTTAAAGAATTCTTAGCATACCAAAATCCAGGACACTTTTTGGGGACAAGGACCCAGCACCCATGTAGGGTCAGGCATATAGAAGACACTAAGAAATATGGAAAGGAAGGAAAGGAGGGAGGAGAGAGGGAAGAAGAGGAGGAGGGAGGGAGGAGAAAGGAAGGAAGGGGGCAGAGAAAGGAAGGAAAAAAAGGAAAGCAGAAGGGAGGGGAGGGGAAGTCCCGAGTGGACACCACTTGCTTTTCTCTCCTGCTGGGGACAAGGTAATCAACCAGACAGAATTAGGAAGCCCTGGGCCCTGGCTGCACCGTCCAGTGGGCAACCTAGGGCTCAGCTTCTTTTTTGATTCTGAAGGGAAAAAAAGGGAAACATCTCTGCTGATGACAAGTCAGTTCAGTGTCCCAAAGCGGCCAAGAACTCAGTAGGCAAAACCTGTTTCTTTTTCTGCAGAGGGCTGAGCCTCATTTAAGCCATGCAGGCTGCAGGCAGGAAGGTGGGGTCTCAGGGTGCTGCCCATGAGACCCTGGGACATTGTCAAGAAATGCCCAGCAGTCCGCAGTGGCTCATGCCTGTAATCCCAGCACTTTGGGAGACTGAAGCAGGTGGGTACTTGAGGTCAGGAGTTTGAGATCAGCCTGGTCAACATGGTGAAACCCCGTCTCTACTAAAAATACAAAAATTAGCTGGGCATTGGTAGTGCATGCCACCACCTAGCTACTTGGAAGGCTGAGGCAGGAGAATCGCTGGAACCCAGGAGGCGATGGTTGCAGTGAGCCTAGATCGTGCCACGGCACTCCAGTCTGGGTGACAGAGTGAGACTCTGCCTTGAAAAATAAATAAATAAATCCCCTACTAGATGTAAATCACTTGGTGAATAAATAATTAATAACCGATGCTTCCACTGGGAGTCTAAACCATCATCTTGCTGATCTAAAAACATATACTGGGTTTAAATGCCTTGGCATTGTAGGAGGTAACTAGTTCTGTCCTGGTGGATGAACAAACAAAAATGAATAAGAAGAAAACATCATGGTGCCTCACAGGACACGAGGCGGACTGAGGGGTGTCCAGGTGGGAGGGTTTGGATTTGTGTCCCCACCCAAATCTCTTGTGGAATTGCAGTCACCAGTGTTGGAGGAAGGGGCTGGTGGGAGGCGGATGGGTCGGGGGCGGACCTCCCCCTTGCTCTTTTTGTGATAGTGAGTTCTCACGAGATCTGCTTGTTTAAAAGCGTGCAGCCCCTCCCCGCTCCCCGCTCTCCCTTCCTCCTTCTCCGGCCATGTGGCTCATGCCTGCTTCCCCTTTGCCTTCCACCAAGATTCTAAGTTTCCTCCCAAGTCATGCTTCCCGTACAGCTTGTGGAACCGAGAGCCAAAGAAGCCTCTTTTCTTCATAAGTTACCAGTCTCAGGTCGTTCTTTGACTCTGGTCGCATTGTGAGCACGGAAGGATACACTAAGGGAGGCTTTGCTGCTGCTGTTTTGGATGACTATTTGTTCACAGCCCAGAATTTGCCACACGCACCGTGCACCATGCTGGCTTTGCACAAAGCCTTTCTTCCCTCTGCTCGGCAAGCAGTCATTCTGTCCAGGGGCTGAGGACAACGTCACAGTCCCTGCTGGCAGCTGTCCTGTGGTCACTGCCTTGGGGGAGGTGCTGGCACCAAGGCCAAGGTGGCCACCCTGACATGCATAGCCAGAGGGTGTGCTGGCGGACCCACACTACGCCCTCAGCACACTGATGGTACCAGCTGAGGGACTGAGTGCGGGTTGAACACTGACGCATGTCCTAGTGTATTCCCAGCAGCCTAATGCGGCCGTGACTGTTACCATCCCCGTTTTACACATGGAGAAACAAGAGGGGCAGAGGATGAAAATGCTATGCCTGGCCTGGCTAGTGGGCTCCTTGGTGTCATCCCCACTTTAAACACTACCTGCCTCATCGAGATAGGACTGAAGTCAGTGTGAGGGCTGAGGGGTGGGATTAGCAACAGATTCTCCTTCCCACAGAGATCCCAGAACAGCGGCCTTGCGCCTTTTGCAAGGGTTTGGTCAGTCAGGGCAACCCTGGGTCCTGCTTTGCCAGGGACTGAGGGGTTGCCCAGGACGGGGACCTTCAGTGCTAAAACTCAGACAGTCCCAAGGAAACCAGGACCACAGGCTTCTCCAGGTGCCCAGATCTCCAAATGGCCTCTGAGATCCCTTCCTGCCCTGCTTTGAGGCTGACGGCCACACGGGATGTCCCTGGTCCAAGCATAGTGGGGCTTCTTGCGGCTCTCACTGTCAAGGTCAACCGTGAAGTATATGGATCCTAAAGAATGTGGCATGAAAGCCAAGCCCATTAGGCTAGGCAAGTGGACCGGAGGTTTATTGGAGGTCTAAATATTTATGGAGAGCAATGATGGCTAATTTTAGAAACCATTAGCCTGCTATTTTTAAACTCGTGGTATAAGGATTTGCTAATTTAAGAAGTGAGTGTTAATGAGCCCCCAACTCCCAGACACCAGCTCCCCAACCCCCTTTCCTTCTTCTTTACCAGCAGCTGCTACTGGCATTAGGTAATAATTCAACTTCCCTGCAACTACTTTTCACTTTGGGGCCTTTCAAGGGAAAAATAACTTTTACTGAATGCATCTCCCTGGAAACCACATAAAATTCTTCCCTGATGCTCCGGAAGTGCTCTGCCCTGCAGGGCTGTTTGTATAGGAAGGAACTTGCCCCGCCTGTCCTCCCAGAGGAGCAGCCCCTGCAGGGCTGAACTGGTGCTCTCCATAAATATTTAGACCTCCAATAAACCTCCGGTCCACTTGCCTAGCCTAATGGGCTTGGCTTTCATGCCACATTCTTTAGGATCCATATACTTCACGGTTGACCTTGATAGTGAGAGCTGCAAGAAGCCCCACTATGCTTGGACCAGGGACATCCCGTGTGGCCGTCAGCCTCAAAGCAGGGCAGGAAGGGATCTCAGAGGCTACTGTTTTCCTGCAGTCATGTGTGTGCGTGTGGGAAGATTTGCTAGAGAGATACGGGTCCAGAACAGAGTTCCAAGCATCAAGCTCCAGAAAGCCCTCGGCAGGCTGGGTGGAGGTGGGAAGGCAGAATCTAACAAGATGTGTTAGAGGAATCAGTGCTGGGTCTTGCATTTGGGATCATAAAACCCCAAAAGCACAATCCTGGGTGGGGAGTACGTGGCTTAACTGCACACGAGAGCAGGATTTAGGGCTGAGTCTCCCAATGACCATATCTTGGAATGCTGCATTTGCGGGATGTCTTATGTCGAGGGCATGAATGTCAGATATGTTTGAGAAAGCCTGGGTGACTGTAGGGCTTGGCATAGTTGGAAATGTGTCAGCGAGCATTGTGACTTTCCCAGAAAAGGTCTCATGTGCAGCATCTGCTAAACTTCCTTGACTAGAGACCCCCCCCATACCCGCCACTCCTTTTACCAAAGAACAACTTGCAGTAAAATCACTTGGGCACACCACTTGGACTTGGCAATGGTGAGATAGACTGGATTGCTGTATTAGTTTTTTCTCCCGCTGCTATAAAGAACTGCCTGAGGCTAGGGTAATTTATAAAGAAAAGAGGTTTAATTGACTCACAGTTCTTCAGGGCTTGGGAGGCCTCAGGAAACTTACAATCCCAGGAGACGGTGAAGCAAACACATCCTCTCTACATGGCGGCAGGAAGGAGAAGAATGAGAACCGAGCCAAAGGGGAAGCCCCTTATAAAACCATCAGATCTTGTGAGAACTTACTCACTATGATGAGAATAGCATGGTGGAAACCACCCCCATGATTCAACTACCTCCCACCACTCCCTCCCCACAACACGTGGGGATTGTGGGAACCACAATCCAAGGTAAGATTTGTGGAGGGACACAGCCAAACCATATTTTTCTGCCCCTCTCAATCTCATGTTCTGGCCCCTTTCAAATCTCCTGGCCCCTCTCAAATCTCATGTCCTTACATTTCAAAACACAATCATGCCCTTCCAGCAGTCCCCCAAGGTCTTAACTCATTCCAGAATTAACTCAAAAGCCCAAGTACGTCTCATCTGAGACAAGGCAAGTCCCTTCTGCCTATGAACCTGCAAAATCAAAAGCAAATTAGTTACTTCCTAGATACAATGAGGGTACAGGCATTGGATAAATACCCCCATTCCAAATGGGAGAAATTGGCCAAAACAAAGAGGCTACAGGCCCCATGCGAGTTGGAAATCCAATAGCACAGTCATTAAACCTTAGAGTTTTGGTCAGCTTCGTCCCCAGCAGAGAGAGTACTAGAAAATGATAGAGCTGTAAAGAATTTTGAAAATCTGTGAAGGGCACTTGTGCAACAGCAGAGCTGCAATAGGCCCTTCCAACTGGCTCTGGTTTCAGGATCGCCAGCTCTGACGAGAGAGGGTTTGTGTGTGTTCATTATAAACTTTGATGTTGTCTCTCTCTGTTTTCCCTGAGCTATGTTTTTCTTTAATAAAGCAGGAGCACACAGTAGGGTGCCCTCGTTTGGCTCACCTCCTGGCCCACCTGGACCCCAGCTGCATCAACTTTAGCTCCAAATTAATCATTATTTCAACAGCAATGGCCAT